AGAAAGAAAGCAGCCTCATGCCAAKATTTAAGTGTTTGACCCTTCTGAGCCTTTGTTAAAAGACCTGCAAGTGCTGGCATGCCCAGAAGATCTAGAATAATTGCTTTTGAGATTTCCCATTAAGACTCAGTTACATAGCTCAGCAACTATGGTATCACTAGGAGTCATCCCCAAAACACAACAAACACCTCCCTTAACACAAACAGCATGAGTCCATTTTTAATGATAAATGTCATTAAAGGATTGCCAGTGGGAGGTTTGTGGATCCTCAGGTCAAGGAAGATGGTGTGGCCTCACATCTGCTTTGAGAGAAAACTTAAATATTCCTGTTCACCTTAGATGAAATACCACTATTTGGGATAAGCCACCTATTTCCAAGATCTGATCCCAAGAGATTTTTTTTTGTTCCACACAAACGTGGATCAGGAAAAATGCCTCAGAGTGTTTCAAATCTGTAGCTCTGCCAGATGTTCATAGAAATGGGCGCAGGGGTGGGGGGATCAGTACTTTGGAAAGCTGTGGGTTAAATAAAAAGATGACTTCATTACTCAGAACCAGTCAGAATCTTTAAAATGGGAGCGTACTTTATAAGTCTCCAAGATGGAGCAGTCTAAACTTATTTGATCATTGAATTTGTTTTGTTTTGTTTTGTTTGGGCCATGGTATATCTTAAAGATCAGTTTTTCACATCAGCCGCATATTCACACATAGGTAGTTTTTAAAAACTCTAATAACCCAGACTTCACCCCAGGTCAACTGCATTAGAATTTCTAGGGGTGGAACCCTGGCATCAATAGTTTTTATAGCTTCCCCCGTGTGCACAAACGTGGATCAGGAAAAATGCCTTAGAGTGTTTCAAATCTGTAGAACCAACTTGAGAACCAACGTATCTTTGGGAAAAAACTGAACTATACATTCTATTCTCTTCTTCAAGCTAAAAAAAAAAAAAAAAAAAAAAAAAAAAGCTGCACAAAATTACAAACAAAGAAAAACTAATGACTAGAGTTAGGCCATCCTACTTCAACCAGCTTTATTCCACTAGACATTAGCACAACACCCTACCTCTGACACCTCCGTCACCTCCGACACCTCCACACCTCATCATTATTTTTCATGCCATTCTTTCTAGATAGGTCTTCAAAACTGGGTCCCTGGACATAATTTATTGTTAGCATAATTTCATTCCCCTTTGAGTCTGTATGCCATAGAAAATTTGTGGTATTTTGCAGGTTTAGGAATCATCACCAACACCAAAAAACTTGCCAAGCTCATACATACAAACCAATAAACCAAGAAGTTGGTATCAAATGAATTTTAACACAGAAAAATATATATATACCTCAAAGAAGAGTTGTGCCACTTAGATTAGTTAACTTTCAATGTTTTGTGAAACTTGAAACTCCCACAAGCACTGTTTTATGAGTGCCCAAGAGCCTACACCTGAAAGCCATCACTATTACCTCCATGAAAACAAGATGGGACTCCACTAGGGGAACTTTAGACAAGAGGCAATTAATATGACCTCACAGAATATACACTAAGTCTGGTAGTATACCAAAGGGAGGGAACCTCTAAAAGCTCATCTCAGGCTTGCCAATTTAAACTCTGCTGACTCTGCCCCCAGGACTGAAAGGCCCCTTGTATCCTTGAAGGCCGGCTGCCAGGCCCACACTGAGATGGGCGGACAAAAAAGAATTCAAGGAGATGGAAATACTCTCTCCCTCTAGTTTTCAGCTAGAATCACTCTTGATAAACACATTGACTGTTCTTACTACAAAAGAAAAGCACAGTTTGACACAAACACCTTACAATTCAGTGGAACACCCTAAGACTGACTCGCAAACGGTAACACTGCTACACTCCTGAGTGTCGCAGCGAGACAGAAATTCAACTATCGCTATAGTCAACTGTACTTAATTTAATCAAGAAGTCAGTAAAGCTACACAAATCTTTTTCTAAATCTGTCTCATTTCTAGTGAATTTTTAACTAGGTTAATAGAAGGCTATAATTTAAAAATTTTAAATATAAACCCAAATAGAAAAAAAAATCAGGTCATCTTTTTGGTTATAATAATGGACCTATACTACAAGCACCACATTATTACTATCCTATCTAGTGTACCGTTAATTTTTTAAAAGCCTATGCCACAAAAAATGATGCCTATGAACAAAAAGTTATAGCACCCAAAATCAGCACTTGGATGGTTATGCAAAGCATATGCCACATGAACAAAAAGTTATAGCACCCAATGGTTATGCTTATTTCCATGAAAGTGTTCTGTGGGTCCTAACCCCCAGATCCAAAGTTACACCTTACTTTTCAGTATACCCATCACACCTATCTCCTAACCTTTGTAAAACCCTGTAATTGTTTTGCATACTCGTACTTTCTACAAACTATACAGACTTCCCCTGCAATAAGTATGAAGGTATCCTAATCATCTTTAGATCCATAGGAGTATCACAGTGGCTGGCATAGAAGGAATAATGTACTTATTTTATTCTCTTTGGACACAAATGGAAAAGAACTCAATTCCAGCTATTGAGAGTAAAGTCAGCCATGCAAACAAATAATTATGTTACAAAATGTAGGCTTTAATATTATGTGTAGTATTGTAATACATAAAACATAAAACAAAATTATAGGTAAAGGACCGACCGGCCAAGCTTCTTCAGATAAATGAGGAAAGGCTTTACAGAAGTGACTACTCAAATAAATGTCTGAGAAATAAATAAATCTTGAAGAAGAGCATTGTTTATATTGATGATAGCCTTTATCAAAAGACTCTAAAATTATAGCACAAATGGGTACATAGGCATTGCAGTAAATAGTACATCTGAACATACCAACCACACCTTCAAAAGCCTTCAGATCCCCTTTTTTAAACAATTTTAAGCAATAGCAAGGTGTGGTGCCTGTAATCACAGTGACTTGGGAGGCTGAGACAGGAGGATCATAAGACTAAGGCCAGCCTCAGCAACTTAGCAAGATCCTGTCTCAAAATGAAAAATAAAGAGGACTGGGGGTGTAGTTCAGTGGTAAAATATCCTGGGTTCAGTCCCCAGTACCCCCCCCACACACACACACACAGACACACCGAGTATTACACTAGGCACAGGGATAATGCATTAGTTCATTTAATCCTAGAATAGCCCGGTAGCCATTTTACAGATCAGGAAACTAAGTCTCAGAGAAGACAATTTGCCCAAGCCACTTACACTTACTATAAATAATGAGAAGTAAACTGAAGCTTCAAACCCAGCCTCCCTACCTCCAAAGCATATATTCTTAACTACTTTGCTTAGAACTGAAGTAGAATTATTAGTATTATCATTATTTTCTTTTCTGACAAAATAGAACTGTATTTCATAAAGTGCTTTCAAATGACAGGAGGGAAAAAAAAACCCTCTAAGTTTCCTTAACACTCTCCTGTACATAAGCCATCACGGGTTTCTCTGCCCTTCTGTCGGGAGTCGCCACGAACAGGAGCTGAGCATGGTACCCTTAGCCTTGGGCGATGGAGGTGTGGAACTGGCTTCCACTTGCAGCCTGAAAGCAGGTGGACCTCACCTTCACTAGGCAAGGAATTTCAGCTCTGGGAGTGGGTGTCCCCCAATGGGACTGGGCTACACTGCCCTGAAGCCCAATCCCTTGCTTCATTTGGGTGGAACTTTCTCGAGTGTCTTCCCCTCAATAAATAGGGTTTCAGGTGTGCTCTTTCTTTTGCCAGCCTCTCTTGCCTCCCTCATGGGAGCTGGGGCAGAGGAGCCGTCACTGAACCCCAAGAAAAAGGTACTTTCTATGCCTGTAGGATTTGTTCGTGCCAGCCCAATTCACCTGGAGTGACCCTGGCTCCTTTCAATGGCTAAGGGCTCATTCTCCCAAAGGCTGGAGGGTGTGCTCCTCTCAGCACCCCATCCTTGACCTCCCTACAGCACTCTGCGGCTGCCTCCCCGGTGCCCCCTTCCTGCCTTCATACCCAATTGTGTCCCTCTCTCTCCTGTGGTCTCAGAAACGGGTGGGAATCTCTTGGGTCTTAAAGGATTGTGTCTTATTCTCTCAAACCTTTACCAAGAAGAACCCTCTGGATGTACAGCAGAGTGGGAAGACAGCACAGAGGCCCCTGGGGTACCCAAATATACCTCCTTATGATAACAGTAACCATAAAAAGCAGTACATATGCTTCTAGGTTTCAATACACAAATAAGCCAAAAGGGAAAATTATTTTTAAAATTCACAGTTCTATCAGAGATTACTGTTTTGGTAGTATTTTGGTTCAATTTGGGTTTTGGGGTTTTTTTTTTAATCAATGCTAGAGATTCAACCCCAGACCTGGGGAGCCAAGGTCTACCACTGAGCTATACCCACAGTCCCCTTCTACTTTTTAAGCAAGGTCAAGTTTATCCTAAATTTTTTTTTAATTTTCTTCAGGTGATACTTACATAACTTTCTTTTCCAACACTGTAACAAGAGACACACTTCCGGAGGATGTAAACTCCATGTGTGTACTAAACAGGGCATCTAGGGTCCCCACTAAACCCATGCTCCTGGAAGGTCCTTGTTCCATATCCTCAGGACCTGACATGAGTCACAGCTCAATCGATGCTCATGGAATTAAAGAATGGAGGAATCAATGATGTAGATTATTAAAAGCAAACAAAGCTCGACACGGTTATTAGTTCCTAAATTAGGCCCTCTTTGTGCTTCAAGAAAACTGTCAGAATATAGAGAGCGTTCTAGGAAAAAAAAAATTAAAATAAAAGATAAACTCCTAAAAGGAACAAGCCATTTTATTCTTACTAGCTACAGGGGGGTGGGAATTATGCAAAAAGAAATAATAAAAATACCATCTGACCTCAGAGAGCAGGGAGAAAAAAAAAAAAAAACAACCATCAACCTCATTTCCTTCCATATAGCACCCTGGTCAGTCTTAGACAATTTAACTGTAGAGCAGCGGGCTCCCTACTCAGGTCTAGCCAAGTCTTGTGAGCGGTCATACCTGAATGGAAGATAGGGGGGATTTGAGCCAGACAGCAGTGCTCTGTAGGCTTCTTCAGGTGTCTTCTTTAAATAGATCACCTAAGACAGAGAAATAGTGTCATTTAGAATACCACACCAAAGAATGACACAAAACTAGTTACTCACCAAATTTGCATTTCACTTCTTCCACTTAAAGTGAAAAACCTCATGATGATATGTTGATCTTTAGACAGCAACCAAAGTGCCCAAGTTTCCTTTTCAGCTTGAAGCTGAAGCTCAAAGATGGGTAAAAGGTTAGAGACAGAGGGCAGATTATTTTTGTTGGTTTGTTTTAGTACTAGGGATCGAACTCAGGGGCTCTTAACCACTGAGCCACATCCTCAGCCCTTTATTATTTTTTTTTTAATGCAAGGTCTCACTAAGTTGCTTACAGCCTCACTAAATTTCTGAGGCTAGCTTTGAACTGGTGATCCTCCTGCCTCAGCCTCCCAAGCCCGGGGGATTACAGGCATGTGCCACTGCTCCCGGCTTTTTTTTTTTTAATGATTCAGAAAATTAATTATTTTGAGATGTGGTATGGACCACCCAGGAATTAGTATTTCATACATCTTTATCATATTAAATGGATAGGAGAAAACACAAAGTATTAATCTGAATAGAGTCCAAATCTGAAAAGGGTATCTAATCTGTCCTCTTGGGAGATGCATTTAAAATTCCTACTTCTTAGTATTAATGACCTTTTTGCAGAGAGCAGATTCTGGAAGAGGTAGTTCACCTCTGCACACCCAGAAGGCACAATTGCAGGGGATACCCACACCTCCATTGTTACACCGTGGGCTCAACAACGACAAAAACAGGCCTCTAGTGTCTCCCATAGAAGATCTCTCATGAGTTAACTCAGTGATTGGCAAATTTTGAAATATGTCTCACAGTGAGCACTATACCCATAAGACATCTACTGAGTTCTCTTATCTGCTCTGAGGAAAGCCAGTGTTGCTCTCTAAATGTTCAATAACAAACATCACAATAAAATGGGGGGGGTATTTGTTAAGCGTGTTAGAAAACTTAGTGGCTTGGCCCTTTATCCCAGGGATACTTAATCCCTCTGTACAGCATGAAAATTAATCTTAAACAAAGAGAGGAACAAAAAGGAGCTCTTTCAACGAGTAAACAACCTCCACCCAGTTGACGTACGCCTACATAGCATATGCAGGCACTGTGTTGGCCGCTGGTTCTTCCATTAGTAGAATTTACATTATTGTGGAGCAAAGACAATAATTAACAAAAATAAAAACAATCTAAGTGCTGAAAAAGAAGCAAGCAGGTTTCTGGAGAGAGAACAGAAAAGAGGTGGTTGATGGATGGCAGTCAGGGAGAGGTCTCTGGTGCTCAGGTGGAGCTCTAGAGGGTTTGGGGAGAGCTAAGGGATAGGAGAAAGGATCTCCCAGGCAGTGAAAAGGACAAGGACAAGGCTGATGGAAGTGGGAAAGAGCTTGTGAGCTTGGGAGGGCTGGGGTGGCCTATAGGACAAGCCAAGCAATGACCAGAATGTGAAAAACACCACAAACCATGGAGGGATTTGGTTTTATTCCAAGTGTAATTTAATGTCTTAATTTTGGGCCAAGGGCATAGGTCCTTCTCATTTATAGTTTGAATTTAATTCCCCAAATCCTCTCTACCAAAAATTAATGGCATTATTTCCTTAATGTGTCCCAACATCAAAACAGTATGCATTTCTATTACAAGAATGGCAGAGTCCCAGTTACTTAAAAAGTAGGGGTTTTTTCTCTGTACTTATAAGCTTCTTTGAGCTTTAAGCTATTCTACTAGCACTATATCACATGTATTTACTTATTAACAATTTCAGGAATAGGAAGCACTCTAATTCTGAATTCTCTAAAGAAAATTAAAATAAATGATAAAAAGAAGTACATCTAACTTTAATAACAAGGATCCATATTCATTTGGCAAATAAAGAGAAAGTCTAATAAGGCATACACCAACCTAAGTGAATTGAGGATGAAACAAAAACAGCACCGAAAATGAGTTAACCTTAAAAGTACTGATCTAGACAAGTGGCACAGATTCCACAAATAGAGAATCACGACTCTAGTTCCAGCTCAAATAATTATAAATCCACTTCAGTCAACCCTAGCTTCCACGACCATTTGCAGGAACCAATGTTACAACRTAATTTCACTGCACCCTAATGGGTAGGTTATGTAACAGTGTTGGTCGTAAGGCAGTGCTTCAGCAATTGAAAGTTGACTAGGCTGCTAGGAGGGAAAGCTGCTTGTAGAAAACCTTCTGTGTTTGGATTAGATAATTAAAGCTTATACATCAACCTTTGAAAAGCAAAAATACATTTCCCTCCTCGGGAGCAATTACATTAATKCCCTCTAATTTTGAGGCAGTGGTTCCGCAGGTTCTGCAGTCACCGGCCCACATGAAATGCTTCCCCTACATTGGTGACCCCACAGGGTTTCGCTCCTCATCTTACCTGCATGACTTAGCACACATGACCCATGTTCTCACACTGTAAGATGAGAGCCTTTGTTTTTATTTTTATCCCAGTGCTAAATTATTAATAAGTGCAAAATGAAACCCAAAGGAGGCCATTTAAATTCCAGGAAGAATCCCGGGGCATCTGTTACAGGTTGACCTTTTACAGCCTGAATGTAGGTACTTAGGGAGAGTGGGAAAATGTTTTCCTGATACACAAGGGCATTACCGAATGAATGCATGCTAAGTCATTAGAATACAGACTCCCATTTTTCCAGAAGAAAATATGGCATGTATTCCTATGCCAGCTCTTCTTACACATGTCTTCTAGGAGAAAGAGAAGGAGGGGGAGAGAGAGAGGGAGGATAGAAGAGAGAGAAAGAGAACAAACACAGGCCTGATTAAAGCTCAAAAGGAAAGTAACATTTACCAGATTCAGAGAATCTGGGGCTCAGAAAGGTTTACCTTTCCAAACTTGCACTGCTGCTCTATGGTGGAGTTAGAATTTTTGAACATGTATCTGACTCAAAAGAAAGAAAAATGAACGCTTCCAAGTTCCTAAATGCCATTACACTTGATTTGTACAATTAGGTGACTTCAAACTATTAACTGTTGTCTCTGAGGAATAGGACTAGGGAAGCATTTGAGGTAGAAAGGGAAACTTTCTTTTTTTTTCCTGAGCTCTAACTTTCTTTATTTTTTTTTATTGTTGGTTGTTCAAAACATTACAAAGCTCTTGACATATCATATTTCATACATTTGATTCAAGTGGGTTATGAACTCCCATTTTTACCCAGTATACAGATTGCAGAATCACATCGGTTACACATCCACATTTTTACATACTTCCTTAATAGTGTCTGTTGTATTCTGCTGCCTTTCCTATCCTCTMCTAYCCCCCCTCCCCTCCCCTCCCATCTTCTCTCTCTACCCCATCTACTGTAATTCATTTCTCTCCCTTGTTTTTTTTCCCTTTCCCCTCACTTCCTCTTATATGTAATTTTGTATAATAATGAGGGTCTCCTTCCATTTCTATGCAATTTCCCTTCTCTCTCCCTTTCCCTCCCACCTCATGTCTCTGTTTAATGTTAATCTTTTTCTCATGCCCTTCCTCCCTGCTCTGTTCTTAGTTGCTCTCCTTATATCAAAGAAGACATTTTGCATTTGTTTTTTAGGGATTGGCTAGCTTCACTTAGCATAATCTGCTCTAATGCCTTCCATTTCCCTGCAAATGCCATGATTTTGTCATTTTTCAGTGCTGAGTAATTCTCCATTGTGTATAAATGCCACATTTTTTTTATCCATTCATCTATTGAAGGGCATCTAGGTTGGTTCCACATTCTAGCTATTGTGAATTGTGCTGCTATGAACATCGATGTAGCAATATCCCTATAGGACGCTCTTTTACGGTCTTTAGGGAATAGTCCGAGAAGGGGAATAGCTGGGTCAAATGTGGTTCCATTCCCAGCTTTCCATGGAATCTCCATACTGCTTTCCAAATTGGCCGCACCAATTTGCAGTCCCACCAGCAATGTACAAGTGTACCAGAAAGGGAAACTTTCTATTTTGTATTCTCTATCACTGTATTTTGTACAGATAGGTTCAAATTTGTTTTTTAATGCAAAGCAACTCAATCCTTTATGAACTGCTAAGTATACCCTTTTTCTAAAAATAAGATCTATATTTAATACTTTAAAAGTTGTCACTAGATATTCTAATATTTCTAAAAATATTTTCTGAATAATACTATTTTCAAAGTATCTTCTAAATATTCTGATTTTTCTTTTTCTCCTTCTAAGGGGGAAATTATGTCAGACTATCTACTCCTCTCACTTGCTCTTAGTATTCATAAACCCAGTGGGAGAGCCAGGCGTGGTGGCACACACCTATCATTCAAGATACTTGGAAGGCTGATGCAGGAGAATCACAAATTCAAGTCCAGCCTGAGCAACTTGGCAAGACTGTCCCAAAATAAAAATTAAAAAAGGTTGAGGATGTAACTCAGTAGTAGAGCCTCCTTAGATTCAATCTCCAGTACCACAAAATAAAAATAAATCAAATGAGAAGAATTTTTCCAAACTTCCGATCAATACAACTTGACAAAAGCCACCTGCACAGCTAACTAGTGCTTGATTTGCCACACCAAGTTAGTAAGCAGTACATGCATCACTTCTATAAAATCTACCTACCTGGTTAGGAAAGCCTAGAAACCTCCTCCATAAAATAACATTTAACATGTTTTTTTATCTTTAACTAAACATGAGTCAGCCAATTAAAGTGAATGTTTTTTTTTCTTTTTAATAGACTTTACTGCCAGGTACCAAAGATGCAAATAACTCCATTTCATAAACACAAGATTCCTAAGAGCCAGGATCATCAACAATATGAAGTTTTTATTTAACAACATAAAAACAATTACAGTACTTCAAGCCAGAATAATTTAGATTGTTTACCAATAAGTTAATGTTGCCCAAACTTCAATTAATTATGTATTAACTTTCCCAGCTTCTATCACCTATACCACCGTGTACTACCATTTCTCTCTAAACAGACATGCTCTTTTAACTTAATCAATTTAATGAAGGGTTTTATATCAT